TGTGTTGTAGAAATAACGAGCATGGCATCCCCCCCGCCCTGCTCCTCGTTAACCTGATGGAAAGCACAGGCTGGTCATAAATTCTAAAAAAATTGGTTTCACCTGATCAGTTCTGGTTTCTTCTAAGGCTCATAAATCCTCCGGAATCTGGGAGTCAAGATCATTTTTGCAAAGCACAAGAAACCGAACCGAACCCCAACAAGAGGGGTTACATTTCCAGGCAAAGCAAATGAGATGCCAAAGCTTTGTTCCTCAAGGATAAACTTAGAAACAACCTTGTTATTAAAACGAGGATAAAACCTTGTTAGTAAACTTATTAAACACCATCCTTGGCTTCAGCTCCCATCAGCGGTGGGGGAACAGAGCCCGACCCCAGACGAAGCCCCCAGTGCTTACAGGGAGCAGCAGGTCTGTCACTGGGAGACAGGTTTGATCAGAACAGTGTTTCTCCTCAAACAAGTCACCCTACTGGAAATCCTAAACGAGCCTTGGTATTCGAAGTTCTTACAGAGTTGGAAGCATTCGAAACAGAATGACATTCAAAATAGTAAGAGCTAAGAACAGATGAAATAACACTTTAAGGAAAGGCTTTTAATGTAATACTGTAACACATACATGGACTGTTTTCTTTAAAAAAAAGAAAAATTAGAATGCAATGAAACCTTAAAGCGTATTCCACCACGGCTTTCTTCTAACCATGTCTCCTGTAGGCTGAAATTCTAGTCAGTAGTGCCGACAGATAGCACAGAAAGCAAAGAAAGAGAACTGAATGGGGCAAAAGGCAGAAGAGAACATTTCTGAAGATTGCTTCCTCCCACAGTACAAATTTAACAAGTGTTTTCAAGTTTAGTTTAATTAAGTTATAATTACCTACTCTGGCAGTGTTGGTGAGAAGACTGCTGCACAGCTGGAATAACGCAGTATATAATTACTCACCACCCCCAATTAAAAAAAAAAAAGTCTTTTGAGAAGTTTCTACCAATAGCATAAACAGTTTAAGTATTATTAAGCAGTATTTTAGCAGTTTTTTTGAATATCTGTTACCTGATGGGTAAAAAAAAAAATAATCTACAGCAGGACAAGAACCGTACATCAACTAATGTTGCTAGCATTGCATTTTCTCCTATTTAAAAAGCAACACTGAATACAGAATACCATGCATATACAGATATTACCAACTATTTTGGAAGTAACTGCCCTAAAAAAGATTTTCCTCTAGCTAAATAAATGCTATAAAAACCAAAACAAAGCAGGTGAGTATGTTGGCTTTATCGATACAGATGAAAGTATGTCAACTATAGCATTCACTCTGGAATCGTGGAGCATAGTTTCTAGCACTTTCATTTTCCTGTGTTGTGATTAAGTCTATAATAGCTGTCAGTACTGCTGTATCCCTGGATTTAGTATCATTCCAGTCCACGGGATGTGGGTTTTCTATTTTTTCTTGTAGAAGATCATCAAGCTCTTGTCTTAAGTTCTAGAAAGAGTTTGTTGCAATGAAGAAAGAAAGAAAGAAAAAGAGAGACAGGCAATTAGAGCAACACACAACAACATTACTACAGTAAGTTGAAATTCCTTGGGCTCTCTTCTCCTAATCATTACACTTACTGCTCTATCAATCCACTTCAACATTCCTATTTTCAGGATCAAAACCTGCTTCTCAAAAACTACCAGTTTTACCTTTCATGACAAATGACCAGATCTGGATGCCCAGTTTACATGACTGTTCAGAATGTTATTTTTACTATTCTAACTTGAATTCATCTACGCACCTTCCGGAGATCTCGTTTGTTTACTTTATGTACTTGAACTACTTACAAAAAATAAATTTAAAACATTATTATCTCCCTGTAGCGTTAAACCAGTAGGTACGTATTAATATCAAGTATAGAAAATCTCTAAGAAGAATCAGCACTACACTAAGGCTTCCATATACATTAAACACAGTCACCTTAACTAAGTGCGCTATTCTTGCCGGAGACTGGAAAACAATCCATTCATCCACAGCAATGGTATCCTGATCTTTGTCCTTCTGAATGGATATATCTCCTCCGAAGAACAGGAGACAGTATGGAGAGACCTCTGTACAATCATACAAGTAAATCTGCAAAATGACAAAATTGTCCAATCACCTTTCAGAACATCTGAAGTTCCATCAGTAACCCTTAATGAAAGAAACTCATAACACAATTTCAGAAGATCATTACAGTCATTCATAAATTTGCAAGACACATCTGGAGCAACTCAGTTGGAAAAGCTATATGAAATGAAACAGGAGCAAAAATGGCCTCAAATACAGTCCTTCACCAACTACTGCATACAATCAGAGGAAAAAGCAATTTTTTTCCCACCATATTCAAGAGTGCTACACTGGATCCAAAAAAAAAAAAAAAGAGAAAATTACACCCTCACTGCCAGAACCTTTAAAAAAAACCAACCCCAAAACAACAAACAACCAAACCACAAAACCAACCAAACAAAACCAAACTCAAACCAAACAAAACAAACAAAAACCCCAGAAGTTAGCATATGAGTTATTTGTGGAACAAAGAATGTATCTGATGGCGCGTAAAAGAAATGACCTAAGACAGGAAGGCTTCAAACAAAGGCACTGTTCACGTCCCCTTTGAACTCTGATCCAACCTTATTAAAGAGCTACAAAAATAAATTACACAATATACATAAACCTTCACATACACTGCTAGTTCTCATCTTCAAATGGTACACGAGCCAGTTATAATGGAACTCTGTTTCTTCCACGTTAACCGACTTAGGATGAATATTGACTGTTCCATCTGTCTTGGTGCAAACTTTCACCCTTGAAAGAAAAAAAGAAATTTTTATTTTAGGATTGAAATAAGATCTTGAAAGTTTAGCACAATCATGTCTCAGTTCCAAAAAACCCTCCAATTCTCTACAAGCATACGAAACTCTGCAAGTACAAGGACGTTAGAAGAAACTTTAACTCCTTTCCTAAAAGATTATAACTGAGTCTACAGTATTAATTTTAGACATCTTTCTGCACTGAAGTAGTTGGAAAGTAAAATAAGTAATTTTTTTGTCAAATTTAGTCCCTCAATAAACTCTTTTATTCTCTCAAGTAGAAAAAAACCCAAGTGGCATTCTTTTTCCCAATCTGAGTGACTCAATTTGGTTACATAAATCAAGTTTCAAGCAATTTCTTAGAAAAACCACGTAAGAAACTCACATATCTGAATACTTTGCTCAGCGTTAAGCAGTGGCAGTGTGGAAGAAGGAATTAGCTATACCACTGCCAACCAGTCTAGGGCTGTGTACCTCCAGTTCTACCGTGTGTCTTCGAGCGAACGCAACTTGAGGGACAACACTCAACTGCTCTGGTTGTACTTACTACCCAAAGACAATTTCCCTTCTAACACTGTAATTCCATCAGACAATAAAAGGCGGACACCAAGCACAGTGTGGACGAAGCACAACTGTTCTCCTCCTTCCCACGTTTCAGAGACGTAATTCTTTGGGCGTGCACCCCTGAGCTCTCTGTGTGCAGCAGTGTTTTGCAGAACACGGAGTTCAGTGTTTGGAAAGCAGGTGGGAGAGCCTCTCCAGCAAAGCCATCAGTGCAACAGAGCTCTTGTTCAGCGCATCATAAAATGGAGCCTTCCTGGGCAGCTGGCTTACACCTTCCAGTGCTGCTCAACATCTGCTGTATTCAGGTGTACATACCCTTCTCACGTGGAGTAACCCACAACCATCACTGAGCTACAGAGAGATTCATTCCTGTGCTCAAGCATTGTTTCACCTTGCCAAACTACCGGATGTAGAAAACACCCTGAATACAAACCAACGTTATACCAAATCCTTACATTTTTCTCTTTTTGCTGAAGCTTGGCCGGATCTTCGCAACTTTTGGATATAAACCAGCACAGATGACCGCTTTGAGCAACTTCTCATTATCTGTAGAAGACAGCAAAGTAAATAACGTAGCTCTGCAAACTGAGACTTTGACTATCAGAAAATTTCCATTTCCTGTCACTGCTTGCCTGAGTTGGTATTAGATTTGGGATCCTTGGGGTCTCTGCTATTCACAAATCCAGCTGCAAGCAGATGCTCAGCAAACTGTCCTTTCATGTTATGCAGCATCTAGGAAAAAAACAAAAAATTGCCCCAGAATGATGCTGTGCCAAAAGGCTCCTCTCCTTTTCCCCCCAGACACGATCCTCTTTTTTAAACTGTCAGGGTGTTACCTGGAGTGTATTTGAAGACAGGAAATATTCCCAGCAATAGTCTTTCTCAGTTCTGAAACCACGACGTCGAGTCTCTTCCCAGCCCTAAAAATTAAAACCGTAGGTCAAAGGCGTTTGTAAGTGAACACACACTAAAAAATTAAGGACAACAAACAACGTAGGTACGTTTTTCTCTACAAGAGAGAAAGTAAATCCTTTGATCTCTTTGATTACATATACACGTGCAACACAGAGCAGAAATACACAACTTTACAACACTCTGAATCAAAGCTTTCCGTTTTCCATGGTGAGGAGAGAAATCTAGCTAAGTTTGCCAGAACTCGATTTGCTGCTATTAAGAGTCCTGGGTAGAAGTGCGTTCCTGGCCATTGATTTCCTCCGCTTCTCATCCCAACATGATACAACTAACCTCCAACACTTTTGAAGCCATCTTCAGCCTCCTGTAGAGGCTGGAAGGGTACAAAGTGATGACTGCAGCGAGGTAACTGTAACATGTTTTGTCTCTTTCATAGACTTATCCACAAGAAACGAGGTTATTAAGCCTGAAGACAAGATTCCTCAACACTAGAGGGGTGGAAATTAATTTGATTTTATGTTTCTGTAGAAACTAATTAAGAAATACTTCAGAGCATAAACTGATCAGTTTTTTTTTTTCCTTAGAATAACCCATATTATTCCAATTAAAATTCCAGAAGAAAAAAACCCCAAACCATTAAAACATGCCTACCGTGAAAGCATTCACAACGGTCAGATGATCACTTTTAGTGTTCTTTGACAGCTCCTTTCTTCTTGCATCTGCTACTTTCTCTTTGCCCTAAGAATAATTAGAACCTATAAAATATTAATGACCGACATGCCAGTTCTCTTTTCCTAATTAAGGCAGATATACACAAGCAATATTTCGTATGCTACATACATGAAAATTAAAGCTACTTCCAATATTCTGCAGGCAAAGACAATAATTCATAGTATGTGAAAGCAATCTTTTACCAATAAAAACGTAATTAACATGAAAATAAGCTTAAAGTGCTTTTAACTAGCACATCTCAGTAAGTCCCAGTATCCTTCTGAGATTCTTAAAGTCTGATTTGTAATTCTCCTCGTAGAAACTTTACCAGAGGAATGACAAAAGGGTCTTTGAAGCTGAGGCTAGCTGCAATGGTAAGCACTGGATCCAGGCAGCAGAATAAAGCTCCAAAGAGGATCATTTTTCCAATATGTGGTTCAACTGGTAGTCGTGCTAGATGGACACCTAGTGGAGTCAGTTCTTCTTGTTTGTCCAAAGCATTCTGTCAGAATAAGGAGAAAAAAATACAAAGGAAAAAAGAATAAACACAGCATTTGAAATGGGGAGGATTTCCTTGAAACAGCCACTAGTATGCCCAGAGAACAAAAGGAAGCCTAACAGCTGGAGAACACAGCCAGTTGTCCTAAGGCACGGTAGGAGAGCGATCAAGCAAGTTACAGAGAAACAGAAACGTTCACTTAGTGCCAGGAAAACGGCAACCAGCTTTGATTGTGTTCAAGTGGTTTACTAGGGCTCAGTGTCTTTCTGGATGAAACTAAGAAGAATTAACACTTCAGTGTCTTCCTATTCTCCTGATCAAGCTTAGCTTTAGTCTTATATCTTACCCTCAATGTCACTTCTGGTTTTATTTACTCTACCCTTTGCTACTATAAAGCACTGTCACAGAACACAGAATTAAAATTCAGTTGTACATTTGATCTATAAACGTTTCCAGAACCGTGTCATCGGTCTAAATACTGCCCTTCATCTAAATCAGATGTTTCAATTTATTGCTACAGCTGATTTGTACAAATACTACCAGGGCAAGAAGTCAGCAGTACAAACTCATTAATCTCTCCTTCTCCAGCATCCAAAGGGGCAATGATACAAGATCTTTCTCCAAAGTACCTTATTTGTCCACAGAAAAGTATCTCAAGCTCTTCACTAATCTGCCTGCACTAGGAAGGCTTGGTGGACACAGCCATGAGCAGGGTGGTACAGAAGCAGTGAGTTCAACAAATATCTGCAAGGAACTTAAAATGCAATGTGTATGTTTCAGTCGTTTAGAAAGTTCCTCAGGAGCTACTCTATGCAGCCCATAAGTATCATGTATGATGTGAAAACACCTCCTCTGCTCAGTGAGGATGTACAGGGGTCTGCTCAGTACAGCGAGGGGCTGCCAATGCCCAGAGCTGCACAGTCACAACTGTCTGACAGCAAACAATGCAGAAATATGCTTCTAACCATCTTTCCTTGTGTGGCCGTTCAGCAATACTTTACCAGCTCCATTAGATGATTTATGGCCAACATCACAGCATCACGAGATGGGGGATCCATTAGTTTGCTCAGAAAATAAGCAATTCCACCAAGCTTTAGAATCTGAAAGAAAAAACAAAACAAATCACCTACAGCAATTGGAGAGAGATGGCTACCTAACATTAGTAAGCAGTGACCACACTAACTAAAAAAATGTGAGTAATTCACAGCTTCAGTTAGAATTTAACTAATTAAGAATCGAGGACAAAAATAAAAATGTATTAATGATGAAATTTGAAACATAAGGATCTATTCTTCTTCCAGTATGTACACACGTACACACATGCTATTTCTTACGCATGTGTAAGCAATTCCATACAAACTGCCAAAAAGGAAACTCACATCAGTTCTAGAACTACTTTTTAGTAAAATTCTTTCAAGACATCATATCCCTGGACTCACCGGCATTCTCACTGAAGCTTCTCTGAGTATTTGGGGTGAGGGGGGGAAGCACAGTCCAAGTTTTTGTTAATAGACTTCAGCTTTTATTTATACTGGACAGTCCTGGTTTTGTGGGTTTGGGGCATCCAGATACAAGTATGCATTTTGCAAAAGCTGCTGCAATTATTAGCTAAATATATTGTACTTCTGGTGTAACAAGAGTTTTGATTTCAACCCCAGGCTCACAGTTGCCTTAACTTAATCTCTCAACCTCTTATTCCAATGGAAAAGTAAATAGTAAATATGTTTGAAGATTCATATGTTTACCTTGATTTGCAAACAGAGTTCTTCCAGAGGAGTCCTCAAGATCTCCGGCAACTGATAATCGTCTAGAAGGCTGGCACGCAGCCCATTGTACAGATGGTAACAGTGGCCTGGCTGAACTCTGCAATTATTGAAATAAACAACTGGTTTGGTTTGGGTTTTTTTGTATAACACTGTGACATTACGATTGCGTTTGTTCATAACCAGCTTTCCAAAACACCTCAAGGAATTGGAACTGAAGCACATTCAATTGTAAAAGCCATTTCAGCTTTCTGAAACACTGGTCTACCAACAGGAAAAACGGCATGCAGAACACAGACACCTCCTACCAACTGCTCAAAAGGAGCAATGAAGAGACCAGAAAAGAACTTTTAAGTCTGAACAAGAGAGAAAATATTCTGCAAGGTATTTTCAGAGGGAGAGAAAATTTTTTAAAAAATTGCCATATAGCTGAGTGATATTAATTTGTACGCAATTTTCACTTTCATGTATTATAGCCTCATAAATGAGGTGTGAAGGCAAACACTAGCAACAAAAATTTAAAAAAACATGGGACTTATTCTTCTATAAGGAGGGAAACTCACAAGTTAAACGCAGCACAAGTCAGGTTCCTAGAAAGAACCATTCTTTTCCTAAGAACACGAGACAGCTGTGCTGCATCTGCTGCTGAGCACACGAACAACAAAGGAGTATTTCAGCGGGCACGTGCTCCAGGACTGATGGAAACTGAACACCACAAAATTCTTACCTCCCTGCTCGGCCTTTCCTCTGCTTGGCATTCGCCTTACTGACCCACTCTGCTGCCATCGTGCTGATGTTGTTCTGTGTGTCAAAGTGAGTTTCCTTTATTTTTCCACCATCTATAACGAACACGACGTCATCTATTGTAATGCTGTTTAAAAAAAGAGCCGAAGATTTGGAAAGGGTTTAGCCTCTCTCTATGCCCGCCCAAACCGTGAGCCACCAATAAAAAAAGATTAATAAATCTGTGTTTGGAATTTCAGTACGAATTACGTTACTAAGCAGTTCAGGAAAGAGCTTGATCTGTCCTCCCAGGTCTGGCAAAAGGCACCACGTGGGGCGATGAAGTCTGCAGGAGGACAGGCAGCTCGGATTTATCAGTCATTACAGTACCATCCATGGTTTAATTGTTTAAAACAATTAAAGGAAACCTCATGTTTAGTCTACAAACATTTCTAAAGATAAAGTGTATAAGTGAATGTTACAAACACAAAAACATGTATTTTTGGAAACACTAAACAGGTTTACACTTTAAATTATCTCTTTCATTTGTTTTAACTTACAGCTTTTTCTGGTCTGTGTAGCTGGTATTTACCTAGTTTCTGCAATGTTGGTAGCAATCACGATTTTCCTCACTCCCGGCGGGGTCTTCTTAAAAACCTGCAATTATCCATGGCCCATTTATATGTTTGCCACAACCAAACACAGGCTTAAGTTGTTTGGGTTTTTTTTGTAGTTGTGAAATATTACAATAAAAGAAAAGCATACCTGGGTCTGGTTAACAGTAGGCATCAATGAATGCAAAGGTATGATAATAAACCTATCTGAAAATTAAAAATCAGTAAAAGAGATGGTGTAAACACAGAAACTTTAATTTTACAGGAAAATCAACCATGCAGAAGAGAGAAAACATGCTTTAAGTCAGTCTGCTGTTCTGAATTCACAAGTATGCATCAAAATGGCAAATTCTAAAGTAAAAAGGTATACAAGAATTTTTTTTTAATTATGCCGTGATGACTTGACAAGTTTAAGAAAATATATGAACTTATGTTCAGTAATTTATACTTTGTTTTAAAATTCTCAAACTACTTCATGTTTCGAGTTTAATTATTAAACTGACACTCTCCTCAATGTTTCAATAAATTGAAATTCTTTACGGAAAGTACACAACATGAACTGTAAGACAACTATCTGAAGAGTCAAGAGCATAGTTAGACAAGTTAGATGAAAATATGGGTCATGCAAACAGGATAAGTTAAAGTGTATCAGATAGGCATAGAGTATTCTAGTGTCCTACTAAAAAAGCTTCTAGGAATAAACAGGATTTAAGAGAACTATTGGCAAAGCAGAGGACAGAAACTGTTGAAGAATCAAGAAAAGAGAAAACGGACACCGAATGAAGTACAAGTTTAGTTGTGGACAGAAGTTATCACAGCTACAAGAAAGGACAGAAGGAGAAAGATGCAGGTCTGAGACTCTTATTCAGGAAAACAAGTTAGCAGCAGCAGCAGATTAAAGATATCAGAGAGCCACAAAAACCGAGAAAGATGCAGGTCTGAGACTCTTATTCAGATTTTTCAGTCCCACACTGAGGAAAACAAGTTAGCAGCAGCAGCAGATGAAAGATACCAGAGAGTCACAAAAAATGCTGAACACTGCCATCATTTTGAGAGAAGAGACGAGAAAAAATAAAAATCCAGTGCAATACCAGCAATCACACGCAAAAATTAAGCGTGCCACTGATGCTGCTACTACAATTCCCACGTAAAATTCTGTTTTTACCTGACTTAAACATGACTTGTGACATCAAGAGATCATGCAAAGTGCTAATGTTGTCCCAGCCTGGAAGAAACACCAGAATTGCACCGTCCTATATATAAAAGAGGGAGGGAAGGGGAGAAAGGTCAGAATAAATTCCATGCTGTGCAAAGAACCAGCTACTCGCACACTAATACCTGTATGCTGAACATGTGATACTTGAAGTCTCATTGACCTGAATTTGGAACGTTTATATTATTTTCTATAAAAACATTAGCTACATATATTTATCTGAAAGTAATAAATGAAAATTTGATTTTAAGTTATTTTTCCCCTGCAGTGTTTTAAACACAGCCATGTCAACACTAGAAGAATTTGGGCTGCAAATAAAACACAGAAACTAGTGTATCATTTTCAACACAGCAAGAACAAAACACAAAACAGCAACTCATCCTCATTATTCACAGCTTAAATATTGAAAATTAATAAACTAAAAGTTAAAAAAACTGAAATATTAAATTATTTGATATTTCTAATAATCAGAATTCTCTTTAAGGAACCAACCACAGTGTCAGCTCTTCCACAGATCTTTTTGAACACAGAAACAAATATCTAACTTCACGTTGCAACAACCCACACACGTTATGCCTACGGTAACAGAAGGTACTCCACGTTTGTCACTAATTCAGGCACAGAACCCTTCTGATGTTAATATTCTGATAACATTATTACTAAACAGCAAGGCAAAGCACACTTTGGGATAACTATTAATGCAGCTGCATTACTACCGATCCTGACAAGTTAGAGTTGGAAGTCTCTCCTGGCTGTGTGTTGGTAAATGTGACTAGGCTTCTGCTGGGCTGTACAAAAACTCAGTCTTCACAGCACCTAAGTCATGTTTAGATTACTTGGGCAGAAAAACCAGTAAAGCCAACTGCACAGCAAGGGCATGAGGCAGTGAGTATCGACTCCAAGTATGGCTCTTGTCCTCCCCCCCCATGGCTGAGGAAGTACAAACGAAGATTTATTTGTACGCTGAAGAGGTTTTCAGACAGTTTTCTACAGCTGTTTCACAAAACTTAACTTTTACTACAGACTGCAAAGAACACTACCTTTGACAAACACGTACACAGTCCCAGAAAGAACTACGAGTTAAAATTTCATTTGTAATTATATTACTTTCCATGAAATAACTAAGGTGGATAATTAATTCGAAGGCTTATTTAAAAGCCCATCCAGAAGCAAAAAATGCAACAATCTGAATCAAAATGGCACCTAAACCTTCAGATCTCTATCCCATTTTATTTACGAGACAATTCCTACGGTTGGTGAAAGAATTCAGGCTCTTTTTTTTTTTCTCCCTTGATCAGAAAGGACCAGAAATGAGCATATCAAATTTGTAAAATATCAAATAATTTTAAGTTTTCCAAGTTTCTTATGTACATAGTTCTCATTAAATACCCACATCCCCTGTTCAAGAAAACACTTAGTGTGCTCCCCTTTGAACATGATTTATCCCACCATTTCAATAAACTGTAACTAATTAACCACATTCTAAACTCAGAGCTCAAATAGTAATTAGATATTTAAAGCTGTTAGATTACTTCTCAGAAGAGCAAACAAAAAATTACTCTTCTTTGACTCTGTTTGATAAGTCAAGCTAACCATCAGCTGCAACATTCCAACAGCCACTGGCCACAATTCAGTCCCATCACTGAGATCTGCTGGTAGAAGTGTACCTCTTCTTCCAAAACGATGTGTCTGATAAGTGCTGCTATAAGGTCAAGGTCGACCTTGTCGTCGTCCATCATCTCCAAGGCATCTATAGTACCTGCTGAATACCTACAGGCACAGAAAGTGTATGTTAACAAAGACAGTCACTCACGTTCCTGTTGCAAGGCTCTGCAACGACATGCCTACGTAACCGTGCTGGTTTGGCTGAGACAGAGTTAATTTTCTCGCAGAGAAAACTATTTAGCTCGGTTTTAAACCACTCTAGAGGAATATCAAAATATTCTGAGGAAAAGGTTGTGGTGGGTTTTTTCTTTTGTTGTTTTTTTT